CACCAAAATACAACACATTAAGCAAAGTCAGTTGATTGTACATTAACAGGAAGACACTGTCTCCATCACTAGTAGTAGGATCAGGCTCATTCCTCCTGCTGATGGTAGGGCCACTGTTTAGTTCTGAAGCTAATGAGAGAAGAGACGTGGTCTGGTCTTTATTGATGATGCCACGAGATTCAGCAACTTTTAGTAATGTAGCTAGCTCATTAGTAGAGTTGGAGGAGACTAGACTGGAGTAGGATGAGAGGAGAAAGAGAAATGACAAGAACAGACCAGCAGCAGACATCATTAGATACACACCTCCTCTCTAGCCACACCTTGTCTTGGGCTACTAAAAATGGTGAGTTCTTTTTCTCAATCTTTATTTATTTTTTGTTAATTTCTGACATTATTTCTTCAGTCAGTGACACTCCACACTGACCTTGGTGATATTAAAATTGAATTATTTTGTGAAGCAGTTCCAAAGACTTGTGAAGTGAGAAATTAAATAAAAATAATAATTAAAATATTTTACAAAATGTTTTAATAGAATTTCCTTGCTCTTTGTGCCAGTGGATATTACAATGACTGCATATTTCACAGGTTTGGTCTGCAGCTGTTGCTTTATATAATTATACCTCCCAATTTGTCGTATTATTTTAGGAACATTAAAGGTTTTATAGTACAGACTGGGGACCCATCAGGTAGTGTCATGTGATAGTCACAGTTTGATCATGTGACCCACAGGTACTGGTAAAGGAGGGACTAGCATCTGGGGCAGGAAATTTGAAGACGAATTTCAAGAAACTTTAAAAGTAAATCCAAGTTTAATGCAGAGCATCGATGCAAATTGTATCAAAAAATGTAATAAAAATTTGGGGTGATTTCAGAGCCATTTTTTGAAAAAAACCATGGGCTATAGCCTTGGGTATTTTTCAGATTTTGGCTCATTTTTTAAAATGGCCGTAACTTGAAAAATTGAAGTCGGAATCAGCTTAAACTTTCTACACAGCATAAGGACATCAATATGTATCAGAAAATGTAATAAAAATTGGGGGTGATTTCGGAGCCATTTTTTGGAAAAAACCATGGACTATAGCCTTGGGTATTTTTCAGATTTTGGCTCATTTTTTAAAATGGCTGTAACTTGAAAAATTAAAGTCGGAATCAGCTCAAACTTTCTACACAGCATAAGGACATCAATATGTATCAGAAAATGTAATAAAAATTGGGGGTGATTTCGGAGCCATTGTTTGGAAAAACCATGGACTATAGCCTTGGGTATTTTTCAGATTTTGGCTCATTTTTTAAAATGGTCGTAACTCGAAAAATTTAAGTCGGAATCAACTCAAACTTTTTACACAGCATAAGGGCATCAATATGTATCAGAAAGTTTAAAAATTGGGTGTGGTCATTTTTACTGAAATTATCGTCATACTTAATTATTGTTATTACAATTATTAATATTTGTAGCACAGTGGGCGTGGCATCATATCAATGGCTAACAGTGGTCACAGTGACACCAATGGATCTCAATTCTTCATTACTTATGCCAAAC